ATGGATGGATGGATGGATGGATGGATGGATGGATGGATGGATGGATGGATGGAGGGATGGAGGGATGGATGAATGAATGGGTGGATGGAGGGATGGATGGATGGATGGATGGATGGATGGATGGGTGGATGGATGGATGGATGGATGGATGGATGGAGGAGTGGATAGAGAGATGGATGGATGGGTGCAACTTTAAGACAACAGGACGGGTAAAAGTCTAAAAATACAAATATTTAATCTGTGACAGCTCCTGAAAACCCCGTTTTACAAGCATAATCGAAGATATCAAGGCCAATATACGAAATATTAAATGGTTTGTTTGTATAATTTATTATAAGAGATGCAAAGGTAGAAGGAAAATGGGTTTAAAACAGAATGCACAATAAAATAATATTGATCATTCTGATTTGAAAGGGTTAATGAAAAGTTTTCCTTAACAAGTTTCTAACCTGGCTCCAACTAGTTGATTAAAAATCAAATGTTCCCCTTTGGGCTCAGATTTCCAAGCAGCCTCCATTTTTAAAACCAACTGCACGTTGCTTATTATAATCAAATACATTTCTACTCATCTTCTGACCATCTGTTTACAGAAATGCTGCGAATATGAACAGCAATTCTCCTTTATTATAATGTTAGATCCTATGATCGGTGATCTGTGGGTTTCCATGGCTCACGGTGATCTCCGCAAGCTAACATTTATATAGCATTGAGGCTAAAGTAGAAAGAAAACGTTTAGAATCTAACTATCCGGGCTCGTCAACTATAAGACGTGATTTACCAGATATATTGTTTACGGTTAAACTGATATTTCTGCGCTCACCTTTTGGATGAGAAAAGCGGCCCAAATCAGTGTCTGAGAAACCCTCATATCGCCGAGCCTGTTGTTGTTTCACCCATCAACCGACCAACCGCTCGGCTTGTTCTCACAGCGGCTGCTTGACAAAGCCACGCCCATTTCCCCGTTAGCGGTCATTGCATTGGCTACTGTCATAGGGAGTTATAAAAAGGGTGTGTAAATGTGATTGGTTGAAGTATCAACGGTGAAAAGGTTCCGAGCTGGAACAATTTATTTAAAATGCCTCCAGTGTGAGGCGTATAGCTCCCTGGTGGTCTAGTGGTTAGGATTCGGCGCTCTCACCGCCGCGGCCCGGGTTCGATTCCCGGTCAGGGAAGATACTTTTTCATAATTTTAAGTCATGGAATTAACTAGCGAGCACTAAGTTGTACCTATAATCGAAATTGTCCAATTTTAAAAAGGCATACTTTATTTTTGTTGTATACACGAAGCCGTACACCTAAAGGAAAGTCAGAAAGCTAAACATGTTCAAATAGAAGTAGCCACTATTCTACTCATCTTGATAGGTATATGAGTGGCTACCTTGTTGTTCATAGTTATGTTGCGAGTTAAATCTTGTTTTTAGACATGATGCAGTAAACTGTTTCAGCCTGATGTCATTCCATATGTCCGTCCGTCTGCTCTGTATTTACCTGTAGCAATTTAGCCTTCATTACCGGAAGACATTTACATTTCAAAATAAGAGTTTTGAGCATCGTCAGTAATTTAGAATCTCTTTTTATAAAAAAAAAAAAAAAACTTCTTGAAATATTATACAAATGTGCTGTTGATAAAACATCATACAAATTATTATTATCACAATACCCATATCTGTCATAGAAAATGCAAAGTACAAAGTTACAGCATCAAACCATTACAATTTGTTCAGAGATGTAGCAAAATTTTACACTAGTTTGCCCTTCAGGACATCCCTATAACACACAGAATATTTTGTACAAGGTTTTTGGATCATCAAGAAATATTTTGGAAAAAAATTTGATTAACTTTATAGGGTGAATTTTGGATGATTATTAATATTTAGAGGTGAATCAGATCTTATCCACTGATCTGATCTACTCAGGCACTCTCAATGCACTAAACTTATACTTTAGAGCTCTACCTAATGTGCACATAAAACATGCTTGTATTGTTTTACAGGGATTGTTAGATATATATTTTTAAATAGGTGCCTGTGTTTAATTCATAAATTAAAGTTTGATCTGTTACTCATTAAATCATGAAAATCAAAATTTTGGTGTCATAATTTACTTGCTATCCCCTAAACAAAAATCGCAAAGTTAATCTGCATAATAGATTGAATGCAGACCAATCGCTTTAACTGTATCAGCAATGTCCTGTCAGCAGTGATGGACAAGGTACTCAACTGTAGTACTTGAGTAAAAGTATTGATACTCATAGTTAAATCTTACTCAACTACAAGTAAAAGTTACTCAGTCAAACATCTACTTAAGTTAAAGTATTGCTCACTTTTGAAAATACTTGGATTTAAAAGTACTTGAGTATTCAAAAACAAAAATAAAATTTCCAATTTTGGCACATTTCTTTCTAATTTCCAGAGCAATTTTAACTTTTTAACTTTCATGAACCACCTAATTTATCGATGCATTGAAACACTGCTACAGATTCTAACTTTCAGCATAAAAATAGCACAAAATATAAGGACTGCTATTTTTATTATTATTTCTCATTTAAAAACAAACTAAGATGAGAAATGGAGCGTCTTGATTCTCCTCATACTATGGAATAGATATTTATGGTTGAATCTGTAACCACAAACTACAACTTTGCTTTGAGAACTCTTCCCACATGGCAACCACTAATGCCTTAATAAAACTAATAAACAACAAATATTATCTGCAATAAGATATGAGAAATTTTTGGAACGTCATGCAAATTTCTACAACAATGGTGTCCAAATGTAGTCCTAAGGGGTACTATCTACCATGTTGAAATTGCATTTCAAGAACAAAAAACAGCAACAGTGGAACTTCCTCAAAATGTCGTGGAGTAGAACGTATAATATTTGACTATGAAATGTTGTGGAGGGAAAGTTATAAGTACTCCCCATAAAATGTTCAAGTAAAGTAAAGATACTCAAAAAAAGCAGTTGTACTTTGTTATTTCCAGTGCTGCCTGTCAGCAACTATATATCATCATAAAGGACTACCTATTTGTGTAACTGATGTATTATGTATGCATAGATTTTTTAAATTTCAATTCAATTCAATTCAA